GCGGGGCTGTCCTGGAGTCCAGCTCGGTGACCGCCCCCGACCTCAGTGCCGGGACGGCCCTGTGGGGTGGGGAACGGCTTTGTGGGGCGGGGGGCTGCCCCGAGTCCAGCGCCGGGACCGCCTGGGTGGGCTGGGGGCTGTCCGCGAGCCCGGTGCCGGGCCGGCCCCACCTGGGCTCGGTGAGGGGAACGGTACAGGCACGCGAAGGGGTGGAAGAAATGGGCGGGTGTGACTAAACGCTTTTTTTGGTTCTGGCGTCTGCGGCTCGGTAGGTTTGAGGGTGAGGGGCAATAGTGAAATTAGGAAAAGAAGCCGTAGCTCCTCTCCAAGGTCTGGGTCAGTGTTGTTATCATAACCGCTCAGTGCGTCCACGCACACCTGGAAGTTCTTTTAAAGCGTGAGATCCGCAAACTATGCTCCCTGCCCCCAGATCCTGCATGCTGCCTGTTTTTGTAGGGCCTGCAAGGAAAAATGTTCTTTGCTTTTTTAATGGTGGGCCTGGGGGAGGACAGAAGGGACAGATGAAAATAATACCAAATTTAAACGTCATTGTCCATAAAGTTGGAACACCTGTGCTTGCTCCTTAGTGTATTGTCTTTGGCTGCTTTTTTGCTATAATGAGGCTGAGTGGTTGTATGGCCCTGGAAGCCCAAAATAATTACTAACTCGTCCTTTTCAGAAAACAGACTCTTGCGCTAGAAGATTTAGGGTTGATTTAGGAATTTGGGAAGAGCATCCAGTGTTGAGAATGAAACTGTGACATAAGTATGAGTAAAGCTGTTCTTCTCTTGACATTTTAAGAACCGTAATAGTACCAATGCTGCTTTGAATAGGGTTTAACAGAAGAAATTTTAAATGTACTTTTTAATGTACATGGAGCGAGATAAATCTGTTGAAATCTTTGGATGAGGGTTGCTGAAATACCAGATGTATTTCATGCTAGTGTCTTGTTAATTTTCAGGTGTTGTGGCGTATGTCGAGGTGTGGTCGGCCAATGGAACAGAAAATTATTCAAAGACGTTTACAAATCAGCTTGTGGATATGGGGGCAAAGGTAAGAAATTCATGTTGCCATTGCTGCGTATGACGGTCCTTGGAAATGTAGTGAGGTATATTTGCATTTTCTTATTTTGGGAGTTATTACTATGACCATGAAGGGCAAAGAAGACGGTAATTGGAGGGGTGAAACAAAAGAACTGTGGTATGAGGAATTTAGAACAGCAGCATTTACAGAGCAGGAGGGCTCTGGGCAATGCGAGAGAAGGAAAGCTCTGGGAAGAAAATGCAGGTCCTGCGGTTGGCTGCTGGGAGGCATGGTAATACTGTTGATCAAAGTGCAGAATACAAGAAAAGGAACAGTTTTTTTTTTATGGGAACATTTGTGAATTTGAGCACATTGGAAATACCTGGTAGACATTTGGACATACAGGTCTGGAACTTGAGATCGTCAAGGTTAGGAATGTTCCAGGAGTGAAGATAAGGGTCCGGTGTGGTGACGACCCAGGTGGTTAGAATGAAAGTGCTGAAGGTGCAGCCTATTTAATAGTTCACGGGCCGGTGATGGGAGCCGTGTCCCCAGGGACAAAGATGGAGAAGGATGCCAGGAGAACCTGGAAGGCAGAGGAGGGATGGACAGACGAGAAAGAGAGAATTTTAAACACTGTCGAGTCTTCAGAAGAGTAAAGATTGGGAAGTATACTCTTAAGTGTGAAAACTGCAAGGTCAGTGTTGAGTGTATCACAGTTTCCAGTGAACTGGGTGAAGGGGATGGAAATTTGTCTTGGAGTCACTGAGCCCCGTGGAATGGAGATGGTGGATGCAGACTGCTCTCAGAGGGAGTTCAGCTGTGAACAAGGTGTTTGTGTGTGTGTGTGTGTGTGTGTGCTGGGATGTGGGGAGGATGGCTGACAGGCTGGGGAAGGAAGACAGTAACAAGAGTAAGATGTCGTCAAAGGCAGGGCAGGGATTAGGGCGAGCGAGGCGAGGGCGTAAAGTAAAGGAGGGAGGCATGCAGAACCCTCAGGCAGAGAGTGGGTGCTCCTGAGCACTGGGGGCTCACTCTCGTCCCTACTCTCACGGGGAGTCCGAGGCTCAGAGTAGGCTAGGGTGGAGGTCAGTCATAATGTAGGGGCAGGGCTTGCTTTTGAACCTGAGAAGTCACGCTTTCCCTGATGCACTAGAAGGTAGAAACCCTTGAGAGTTTGATGACACCAACCACTTACTTGGGCTGCACATGTCTTTGTGGCTGAGAAAAAAAACCATGGAACATAGGAGCTGGCAAAATGGCTTTTGAGAGTAATATTAAGTTCATAGATCTCTTGAATCATTTTGTTTTTCATCTTTTATTTAGAAAATATTGTACAGTGAACATGGATGCAACAATTAACATGCTTACTGTGTCTCCATGCCTCTAAACAGTGTACTTATATGTGTAATTTTTTCTGAACTATTTGCAAGTAAGTTGCAGATGTCATAATTTGTCCCTAAATATATTTAGTATCTTTAAAACCAAGGGCATTTTCCTGTATGACAGAGGACGGTTGAACACATCTGAGGACACTGTCAGTGATTTCCTAAGTTCTCTGCAGTGGTTGACTCAGTTTATACTTTTGCTGTGTATGAAAACACCACTGTGCTTGGTTTTTTCTGTCTTTACCTTCAGCCATTCTGGTGCGGTTCTGGTGGTATATCATCCTGGTTTGAATTTGCATTTTCCTGCATGTCTTCAAATATTTATGTTAAAGACCTTCCTTGTTCAAGTCTACAGCTCATGTTTCCATTGGGTTTTTCTTTTTCTTCTTTATTTGTAAGAATTCTCTAGTTTTCAGTTAACTCTTTGTTGGCCATGTGAATTGCAATATTTTCTGTCACTCTGTGACTTGCCTTTTCACCTTCTTAATGATATCTTTTGATGGTAACTGTAATGTAGTTTATTCCTTTGTAGTGAGGTTTTTTGTATGTATCTTATTCAAAAAAAAAATCTGTTCCTACACCAAGGTTACAAAGATTTTCTCTGTTATTTTCCAGAAGTGTTACTTTGCTTTTCACATTTATATTTATAGTACTTATGAAACTGTGCAAATAGTAATAGTTTGCATTTTGTTTTCTGCATTGTGTCTGCAGGTTTCAAAAACGTTCAACAAACAAGTAACTCACGTGGTGTTCAAAGACGGCTACCGGAGCACCTGGGACAAAGCTCAGAGGAGGGGCCTGAAGCTCGTCTCAGTGCTCTGGGTGGAGAAGTAAGTTGTTCTCTTGTTTTTCCTAGTTGTCTAGTATTGACAGAGTGTGGAGATGTTTTGCACGTTTCATAGAACCAGATGAAGTTTGATTTCCACCTTTTCTCTGCCTCTTACCAGGGCAGGTCATTTAACATGAGCCTCAGATTCCAAAAGATGGGTGTGGTGTAATCCGTACCCTGCCTGGGGGCTCTGAGACTGTTCTGAGCCTGGTGCATTCAGGAAAGCAGACGGAAGCAGGCTGTGTTAGGCACCAGGGTGGCCATAACAAAATACATAGACTGGGGACTTAAATGACAAATTTAATTCTCATAGTTCTGGGGGCTGGAAGTCCAAGGTGAAGGTGCCGGCAGGGTTGGTTTCTTCTGAGGCCCCTCTCCTGGACTTGCAGTTGGCCATCTTATTTCTGTGTCTTCACCTGGTCTCTCTGAGTGGCTCTGTGTCCTAATCTCTTCTTATAAGGGCACCAGTCTTATTGGATTAAGGCCCAGCCTAGTGGCCTCATTTAACCTTAACTAGCTCTTTAAAGGCTCTATCTCCAAACACAGTCACATCCTGTGTACTAGGAGTTAGGACTGCGTGTGAATTTGTGGGGACACAATTGAGCCACTGTTGTGGAACAGCAGTGGTCAGGAGGAGGCTTAGGAGGAGGTCGAGGTCAGAGTGGTGGGAGGTCAGATGGTGGGGTGTGATGCAGAGGTATGTGCGAATAGGACTAGGGGCAAGGGCAGTATAGATGGGGAGGGGTGTCATCAGTGCAGAGGGGTGTGGACGTGATCCCGAGTCCTGTAGGTAGTTGAGGGGAGGGGTGTCATCAGTGCAGAGGGGTGTGGACGTGATCCCGAGTCCTGTAGGTAGTTGGGGGAGGGGTGTCATCAGTGTAGAGGGGTGTAGACGTGATCCCGAGTCCTGTAGGTAGTTGGGGGGAGGGGTGTCATCAGTGCAGAGGGGTGTGGACGTGATCCCGAGTCACTGCGGACAGTTGCAGGGGGGAAGGTTGTGATCTCTCTATCAGTGAGTGTGGACAAGGGAAGAGTGAAGGTCCAGGATTGAGCACTTCAGAGTTGGAGCTTGATTGAGAAGGAAGAACAGTGAGGAGGGGGTTCTAGAATTCAGATGAAGGTTTTCAAGGAGGGGATAATGATCAACTCTGGCAAACAGGTTGATAAAGACAGGTATAAGAGATTACCACTGCAGCTAGCGACGTGGGGTCTCGGGGTCTTGACAAGTAGTTTTGGCAGATTAGGGAGTAGAAGTTTAGGGGATTTGAAACGGGGTGTGCAGACGGGTCTGGTGGGGGCACAGAGCCGGGGCCGGACCTGGAGGGGGATGGAAGAGAAGAGGCTGAGGTGGGAGAAATGACAGCATCTCTGTGTGCCGAGGGAGCCCACCCGGCCGAGAGCGGAGTTCTGGTGACGCAGAAGCAAGAGGGCACGTTTGCTCGTGGACGTGGCTGACGGGGCTGTGGGGATGGACTCCAGCAGATAAGTTCACGGGTCATACAGGATGTGTAGGTTATCCTGTGTGTCCTGTGGGTTACGTAGGATCAAGGACAGTCATTCCATGAGGACAGGAGGGAGTGCAGAGTGTGCAGGGACAGTTGCTGCTAAGTGAGCAGATGTGTCATCAGGCCTTGTGGAAATGCTGTTCTCGTTTCTACTGTCTCATCATCTGGGAGTGAGAGTGGGAGAAAGGTTTTAGGAGAACACGTGAAGTAGTTGTCTAGGATCGTGGGAAAGGGGTGGGTCAGGGACTGTCCTGGAGGGAATGCCCTACTGGGCAGGACTAATAGCTCACTTGCGGGCGGTGGTTGTAGGTTGACCGTGAGGCCAGAGGATCAGGCTGGTGGTTCATCCAGCAGCCTGCAAGCCAGAAGGGTTTACCCAGGCACCCACGTACTGTCGGGTTTGGAGGGATGATGAGCCGTGGTGGTGATGGACCACGGACTCCAAGCTCTCTGGGGGCAGAGGGCAGAGCTCACGGCGGGAGTTGGGGGGTGGGGAGGTAGTTTGGTTAACAGACCGTGGATCTCAGTTGGGTTCAGAATTTTGGGGTTGTATATGGGATTGTATTTGGGAAGTTAGGAGGATGTGGCTGGAGCACTCGTGCTGTAGCCTGCGTCAGTGCTTTACTCCTTTGAATGGCTGGATAGTAGTCCGTTGTAAAGATAGATCACGTTTTATCTTCATCAGTTGGTGGACATTTGGGTTTTTTGCACTATTTGGCTATTATGAGTGATGCTGCTATGAACATTTGTGTCCAAGCTTTTGTGTGAATATGTATTTTCAATCCTCTTGGGTATATATACACCTAGGAGTGATATAGCTGAGTCACATGGAAACCGTTTATTTAGCTTTTTGAGGAACTACCAAACTATTCTTCATACTGGATGCTCCATTTTACATTCCCACCAGTAACGTGTGCAGGTTATTGCCCTTCTTTGTGTTTATCCGTTATCATGAATGGGAAGTGGTGTCTCACGATGGTTTTGATTTGTGTTCCCCAGTGATGTTGAACAGCTTTCCATGGTTTTATTGGCTTTCTTTTGTACCTTTGGAGAAATGTTTATTCAGATACTTTTGTCCATTTTTTAAAACCTGGGTTATTTTATTGAGTTTTAAGAGTTCTTGTTGGTACCCTTTGAATCACAAAGTTTTTAATTTTTTTAAGTTCACTGTATCATTTTTTTCTTCTGTTGCTGTTTGTATGTGTTTTTTTTTTCCTAGGGGGAAAAGAGCACCTGATACTTGATAGAGACTGAGTCTCTAATTACGTAGGTGTTGCCATCTTAACAATATTTAATCTTGCAGTCGATGGCCATTGGATGTGTTTTCATTTGGGGGAATTGTCTGATTTCTTTCAGTGATGTGTTGTAGTTTTCAGGGTGCAAATCTTGCCTCTCCTAGGTTGAATTTATTCTAAAAACTTTTTTGATGCTATAGTAAATGGAATTGCTTTAATTACATTCTTAGATTGTTCAGGTGTTAAAATATTGAAATACAATCGATTTTTTATATGTTGACCTTGTAAACGGCAAGTCTTCTGAATTTGTTTGTTAGCTTTAAGTGTTTTGGGGATTTCCTTGGGATTTTCAGTATACAGTGTTGTGCAACACTTCATGGAGGTGGTTTTTTGTAATCTGTACATAGAGATAGTTTAACTTCTCCGGGTTCAGTCTGGATGCTTTTTTCTTTCTTTTTCTTTTCTACTTGCCCTGACTACAACTCTGGCACAATGTTGAGTATAAGTGGTGAGAGTAGACTTCTTTGTCTTGCTCCCAATTTTAGGCAAAAAGTTTTCACTGTTTTACTGTATTTCGCTATTAAGTGTGATGTTAGCTTTGGGTTATATAGATGCCCTTTTTCAAGTTGAGGAAGTTTCTTTCTATTCCAGTTTTTGTTTGTTTTGGGTTTATCATTAAAGGATATTGGATTTTGTTGAATGCTTTTTCTGCAGCTGTTAAGCGATTTATGTGGTTTTTGTCTTTTATTAATGTGCTGTATTCGATTGATTTAATATGGTGAACCAGCCTTACATTCCTGGAGTAAATTCCACTTGGTCATGTTGTACACTTTTCTTAATTGCTGGATCAATTTGTTAGTACTTACATCTTTTATTTTTATTTTTGCATCTGTATTCATAAGGAATATCGGTCAATAGTTTTCTGGTGATGACTTTTTCTGGTTTTGGTCTCAGGCAGTATTGACATCATAGAATGAGTTGGGACGTGTTCTTCTGTCTTTTGAAGTTTGTAAGGTTTGGTGTTAATTCTTCAAGCGTTTGTGGAACTCACCAGTGAAGCCGTCTGGGCCTGAGCTTTCTTTTTTGAAAAAGTTCTTGTTCACTAATTCCGTCTCTTGTTTTAGGTTTATTCAGATTTTCTGTTTCTTCTTGAGTCTGTTGAGTAGTTTATCTTCCTAGGATTTGTCCACTTGAATCTAGGCTGTTTAATTTGTTGGCATGCATTTATTTGTAGTATTCTGTTAAAACCCTTCTCCTTTTATTGTGGTAAGATCAGTAATTTCTGGTTTTAGTAATCACTTCTCTTTTAGTAATCACTTCTCTTTTTGACTAGCTAAAGGCTTGTCAATCAGATGAATACAGATTTCCATAGGTTTCTCTATCTGAAAATGTCCTATTTCATCATCATTTGTGAATAATATTTTCAATGGATATGCAATTCCAGGCTGACTATTTTTTTTAATGTTTAAAGGCATTTTCCCAGTCTTCTGTCCTCTGGTGTCTCATGAGAAGCTCTTAGTCAAATAGTTTCTGCATTGTAAGTAACGTGTCCTTTTTCTCTGGCTTCTTTTCAGTTTTTCTCCTTATCTTTGATTTTCAGAAGTTTAACATAAGTGGCTAGGTATGGTGCTTTTTAATTTATTCTGTGTGGATTTTGCTGAGTTTCTTAACATGTAAGGTTATATATATTTTTCTAAAAACATGGTTAGTTAGGGCCGTTATTTCTGCGGATGCCTTTTCTGCCTGTTTTGCTGGTACCATAATCAGCTACACATCGGGCATTGGCTAAGTTTCTGTAGACGGCCAGATAGTAAACCTTTTAGGCTTCGTGGGCCACGTGGTCTTTACTCAACTACTCACTGTCCTGGTGTGGAAGGAGCCCTGGAGAATGAGCAAACAAATGAGTGTGGCCGTGTTGCAGCAAAACCTTATTACAAAACCTCGTCAAGGGCTGGGTGGCCTGCAGGCCATAGTTTGCCAGTCATCCTGTGTAATACAGCTTTTGAAATTTTCACCCTTGTCCCTAATGCCCTGGTTTTTGTTCACTATTTATCAGTCACTTTTTTAGTCTCCAGGTTGATTTTCCTTCAAGTTCATTGGCTCTTTTCTCCATCAACTCCATTCTGTCATTAAGTCCATTTATTAAATGTATTTCATTCAGGTGTTTTTCAGTTCTGACATTTCCACTTGGCTCTTTCTTATGTTTGCAAGTTTTGTTTTTCAGCTGAGATTTCCTGTCTTTACTTTTCCTGTCTTTCACT